TTTACAATTTTAAAGATTTCTTTGAGGTCAAAAAAATATATAACATGAAATTAACCATTGTAGTCTTGCCTCGCTGCTCTGATTAGGACTTCCAGTACTGTGTTGAATAGATGTGGTGAGAGTGGACATCCTGTCTTGTTTCTGATCTTAATGGGAAAGCTTCCGGGTTTTCATCAAGTATGAAATTAGCAGTGGGCTTTTCATATATGGCTTTTATTATGTTTAGGTGTGTTCCTTCTATTACTACTTCATTGAGTGTTTGTCAAATGCTTTCCTTGAATCAGCTGAATGATCAGATGTGTGGGAGGTTTTGTGGGGGGCGGAGGGGGGAGTTATCCTTCATTCTGTTAATGGGGTACATACAGTGATTGATTTTCTAAAAACACCTCTTTTGATAGTGTTTACTTACATTCTAGCTCCGAAGTGATCTTCTATCCTGCCACTTTTCGCCTCTTCCCCATCCCTCTCTCTCCCTCAGTAGAGAAAGACATAGATAGATGATAGATAAAATGTGTTGTCATTCAAGCATATTTCTGTAGAAAATGTGGAATTGGGCATGTTGTATCACATTGACACAACTTTTAAAAGGAAAATCCATAGTAATTTTCAAACACAGTGTACATCCATCCCCCCTGACCCCACCAAGGTGCAGGGCTTAGCCATCCCCTCTTGGCCACTCATCATCCTTGATCGATGGGCCCCTTGCCTCCACTTTAACTATTTTCAGCCCATTTTCAATGCCACTGGCAAAGAAATATGATAGAAAAAGAAGGAAACTCAAATGAAAATACTTTGATAAATTATTGGAACTTATCTGCAGTTAGGAAATCAAATATAAAGTAAAAGATAAGAGATTAACCTATCCATCAGAAGGAAGAAGGATGAGGAAAACAGGGACTCCCACATCACTGAATGTTCTGCATTGGTACAATCATTTTGAGAGAAAGTTGGCCAGATGAGTGGATAAAGAAGGAAGAATTTCATATGATGCAGTTGCTCACCAAGAACAGTGAAAGGACAGAATGATTTACAGCAAGAACAATTCACACGCCTGTCCTTGTGAAAGTTATTGGTGTGAAGAAACTGCCACAGAGGAGAGGGATTGTCATGGATAACTTCCCTGCTGACCCTTAGACGATACTGTGTCACTACACCACCTGATAGCCTGCTTCAGCCCCACGGAACCAGAGCCTCTTAAAGGGGAAGGCCTCTAGCCTTTGAGTAATTGGTTAACAAAAAGAAAGATGTAAGAAAAAGAACCTCCATAATGTAAGATTAATATGAAGGTTAATGAGGTTGAGAAACAATATGCCTTTCTACTCAGGATTCACTTCCAGATATACACTTTGGGGGAGGAAAATGTCCATTACATAATTTTCAGTATTGAAAAACCAAATAAAAAAAAGAAGTGGAAGTAACCTAAAAGTCTCTGTAAAGAAGATCCCACAAGTGGTTGGGGGCATAATTTCACTTCTAAAGCAATTGAAATAAGTGAACTAGAACCTGGAAGGGTTGGGAAATGTGATCAAGATCCCTGCAGAATGCATTTTGACATAGAGCTGGAGAGGTGACATAGCCCTGAGACAGGAGAGTGAAAGTGTATGGATGACCTTGCCCGGTGAAAGCAAATTCCCTCACCCCCTCCTGTGTCAGTCGCCAGAGCCACCATAACTAGGTAACACAAACTTGGTGACTTAGAGCAACATGAATTTACTTTCTCACAGGCCTGGAGGATAGATGTTCAGAAGCAAGTTGTCAGCAGTGTCTGCTGTCCTTGAAAGTTCTAGGAAGACACACGCCTCTTCCCGGAGACTCTGGGTTTCCTCGGCACTCCTTCCCTTCTCTGCTGCTGCGCCATCCCAACCTCTGGCCAGGCTTTCCATGCCCTTAGTCCTTGCATCTTTGTGTCTCTGTATCATTTCCTCTTTCTAAAAGGACACCAGTCATTGGATTTAAGGCCCATTTAATCCAGCATGTTCTCACGCTAGCTTATTTGGAAGGACCTCATTTCCAAATAAGGCCACATTCTGCATTCCAAAGTAGATGATTTGTGGGGAGAAGATATTATTCACCTTTGTACAGTGATTTCCATGTGCTTCAAGGGGTATTTATACTCTACAGTTGCTGAGTGTGTTGTTCTATCTGTGTCAAATAGGTCCATATGGTTGATATTTTAATCCAGTTCTAACAAACTATTATCTGCTTGTTTTATCAATTACTAAGAGAGGTATACAAAATATCAGCTATGATTTGGATATATGCATTTGCTTTTAATTCCATCAGTTTTTCCTTTATACATTTAAATTTTCTATTAGCATCATATACAAATTTTTTAATTTTCACATTATCCAGTTGAATTTAATTTTCTTTGTGAAATGCCTCTTTATAAGCTTTTTTTTTTCCTGAACCCTACTTTGTGTAATAATTATTGAGCCACATCAGCATTCTTTTTCTTAGAATGTTTGTAATACAACTTTTTCAGGCTTTTATTTATATACTGGTTTTTTATATTAAACATACACCACCTTTGTACTTTGGTTTTTATTTCTTTTCCAAATTAAAATATTTTTTAAACAGATACCTTTACTCTTTATGGATCGAGTGCATGGCCACTTGAAGCATAGAAACAGCTGTGCTGCTGCCCGGGGAAATATTTCCTGCGCGTCACTCTTCTCATCACTATACAAGGGTGGGGGTGGAGGAGAGCAAGGGCTGTGGGCCCGGAGATCACACTGGCTGCCTGGGGAGACTCTTCAGAGGAAGGGCACTGGGTCCCTCCAACTGGTGTTCCTCCCCTGTTGGTCCCCCACTGCTTCCTGAGGACCTCAGGCTTCCCGCCTCCCCTGCCTTGGGCCGAGGGGGGTCAGGGGAAGATTGGCCTCAGGACTGCAGTTTCCTGGGACCAGGGAGTTGTGAGTCCCAGTGCACTCAGAGCCCAAGTCTCACCTAATTGGCCATTTGTGGCCTCAAGTCCCAGGTGTGGCAGGTGGAGAGAATCTTTCCCAGCAGGTACCCCCAGGGTCCAGGCACCCTGACATGCTTCTCAGACGATGGGACAAGATGTGGAGGGGCAGGTGAGCTGAGTTCATCCCCTTCTCTGCATGCACCAAGCCCCAGGGACCTCCTGCAGCCAGACTCTCGGTGGGACCCCAATTGCCCCCTCCCATCCTTGTTTCACTGCACAGGAAGCCAGAGGCGGGAGAGGCAGGAGTCCTCAGTGTCCACCGGTCTTCGTCAGCACAGACCTGGATCAGGAGCTTGGAAGACCCTGGGAAAGCAGATCCTGGCTGTGTGCACTTGGGTGTGTCATGACCCTCACCTGGAAAAGGTAAGGCCAAGGCAGCCACCCATCAGGGTTGCAGGAGTGTAAGGGGGCAGCAGGGTTCTGTCTACAGTAAGCCCCCAGGCCTTGTTCTCAGCAGCTGGAGTGAGGTCCACTCTCCTGCCTCCCTACCCCTGACCTCAGCTTCAAGGTTGTGGAAGCAGTGCCTCTTTAGCCAGTGAGTGAGTCCTCTGAGCAACCTGATCAGTAGCAGGTTCTGACTCAACAGGTGTGTTTGACTGGAGTGTCTGCATTTCTAACCAGCTTGCAGGTGGTGGTGATGCTCCTGGTCCCTGGGCCACACTTTCAGTCGGGAGGCTTAGCACTGAATGTTAGTACAGGTTATGTTCCACTGCAGAGAGGTGTCCAGCTGCCTTGACCTCATCGAGTACATCCCTTAGGCTTGGATTAAAGGCCTCCTCATGTCACTGATGTCCATGGGTGACCCTGGGTGACCTCAGCAGGCTGGAGACCCCTGCTTGTTTGTTGTTCAAAAAACAAAGAGTCTGGCTTTGGAAATGGAAATTTCTATTTGTTTTCAGCTTACCAGGAGTCACTATTTTATCATGCTAAGGGCTTGTCAAGAGAAATGGTCAAGTAATACTGAGCACAAAACCATGAACCCAGAATCTTTGCGTTCACCACAGAAACACCTGCTTCTTGGGGTGTGGGAGGGAACAGGCGGGCCACATGAGCCACCTGTCCCCACTGTGTGTGAATGATCCCCGGGGGTGGGCAGCAGGGATCCATCAGCGTAGTGCCAGCGGGATACAGAGCAGACCGCTTCCGCCCCTCCACCCACGCCTGTCAGCACAGCAGCTCCGTGAATCCGCACGGTTGCCAAGTGGTATTTGTTGCACAGCCCTGCTCTGACCTGAACGGTCTGTGCTGTGACAAAGGCAGGGGGCAGAAAGACCTCAGGGAATTCCAGAGAACAGACAGAAGCCCCGATCTCTCTAGTTCCAAATGGAAAAGGCTGTCCTGAAGTGATTTGCGGAGCATGGGCTGTGAGTCACCAGTGACCAGTTGGGCCGTTCCTCCTCCATGATTTGGCAAACATCTGCACATGGGCAGGAAGCCCCATGAGAACCTCACGGGTGCAGAGAGCTCTGCAGATGAAATGCCACTGTGGTCCAGGCTAGGAGGCCATGATGCTGAGATGGGGCCCAGAATCTGCAGGGGAGACGGACACGAAACACCCGCAGTAGCCCGGTGATGGTGGGTCTTTGCTCTCCTTCCAGTTTGGCCTGGAGATGGAACCATCACTAGGTCAAGTCCTGGTGGGCCGGGGGTCCTCGGTAAACATTTCTGAAATCAGTGAATGAGTTTATAAGGAACAGAAAGCATAGGATTAGCTATGGGAGCAAAGAGTGGAAATGGCAAAATTCAAGAGCACCCTTGAGGGGAGGAGAGCATTTACTTCAAAGGAAGAGACCGGGGGCTGCAACTCCATTCTTGCCCTGGAGACTCTAGGCTCTGTAACCCTCCCGGCGCTCACCCAACCCCTGTGGTAACAAGTCAGAGGGTTCCACAGAGTGAGTGCTCCATGCATATTTATGAAGTTCTGAGTCACAGGCAATACTGCCCTTTCAGGTCAGCCTGAGCTCATCTGGAAAGAGAACTGCGCGGCTGGTGGCCTCTTGGTCAGTGGGCAGAGAGTCATCAAAGGGTCCAGACCATGTCACCCCACAGAAATGGAAACTTCTCAGTGATGCCTTTGCAGGAGTTCATGCTGGAGGGATTTGAGGGAGGTCCACAGACCCAGGCCCTGCTCTTCACCCTGTTCCTGGCCCTGTACATGGTGGCCATCCTGGGGAACCTCACCATGATCGTGGTCATCACCCTGGATGCCCGTCTGCACTCCCCAATGTACTTCTTCCTCAAGAACCTCTCCTTCTTAGACCTGTGCTACTCATCTGTCATCTACCCCAAGGCCCTGGCCAACTTCCTGTCCTCCTCCAAGGTCATCACCTTTGCAGGTTGTGCCACCCAGTTCTTCTTCTTCTCCCTGCTGGCTACTTCTGAGACTGTCCTCTTGGCCGTGATGGCCTTTGACCGCTTCGTGGCCATCTGCAGCCCCCTGCACTATCCCATCTCCATGCGCCCCTCGGTCTGTGCCCGCCTGATGCTGGGCTCCTACTGTGGGGGCTGCCTCAACTCCATCCTGCAGACCAGCTTCACATTCAGCCTCCCGTTCTGCAGCTCCAACCACATCGACCACTTCTTCTGTGATGTGCCTCCTATGATCCAGATTGCCTGTGCTGACACGACCCTCAATGAGCTGGTCTTGTTTGGCATCTGTGGCCTCATCATCGTGGGCACCACACTCGTGGTCCTCATCTCCTACGGCTACATCACAGGGACCATCCTGAGGATGCGCTCAGGAGGAGGGAGACACAAGCTCTTCTCCACCTGCGGCTCCCACGTGACAGCCGTGTCCCTCTTTTACGGGACCCTTTTTGTCATGTATGCCCAGCCGGGAGCTGTGGAGTCCATGGAACAGGGCAAGGTGGTCTCTGTCTTCTACACCCTGGTCATCCCGATGCTCAACCCCCTCATCTACAGTCTGAGAAACAAGGACGTCCAGGATGCCCTGTGGAGACTGGGGCAGAGACACAGAGCCACGTGAAGGAGGGTGGACAGAGAGACCCAGTGTCCTGAGGGCTGGATGGAGAATTCAGAGACATTGAACCATTAGGAGCCCCTGAAACTTCTCCCACTTCCGAATGGAATGGGATGTGTTGAGGACTCACTGATCCGTTTATTCAAGCACATTGCTTGAAGGCATTTATGAAGCAGACACTCACTATGTGTGAGATGCAGAGACAAACAAGGGTGCTCTGCACCCAGAACTCTCCATGTTGCAAGAAGGAGCAGTGACTCAAGTCACATGAAGACTGAATGCACAGAGCAGGAGGCAGGGGCGGTCCTCTTGTCCCCTCTGTGGGTCATGGTTCTCTGGGTCATTCCATGGGTTTGGGTAGGAAAGAAGTCAGACATATGTGCATTGATCAAACTTGGAAGAAAAGGTGTTTGCATGTGACATACCTCCATCTCCCAACCCCACGTGGGATGCAGGACTTCACCATCACCTGTTGGCAGGACATGACCATCCACTGAGGGCTCTCTGCCTCCAGTTGGCCTTTTTACAGCCCACTTTCAACACCACCACCAAAGAGATCTGTTTAAAATGATAATGGCCAAGGTGTTCCCCGCGGTCAGTAGCAGTGAGTAGGAATAGGTTTGGTTTCAGTGGCTCAGGGCTGACAAGCAGGGCCTCTCAGGGAGGAGCCAGGTCAGTGGCCTGATGTGAACGTGGTGGTTCCACTCGGGGACAGAAGCACCCCTGGGCTCCTGCTCCATCACACCAAGGGCACGGATGACACTGTCGTTTGGGATGATAACCCCAGCCACAGTACCACCTTCCAAGTGGCAGGATGGAAGACATGAAGCATAAACATATGTACAATTTTGATGTATCTTCAGAAAAAATACTCAAATCATATCCATTCAGGGAGTTCATTACCACCCAGGTCAAGAATGAGAAATTCACCCAATTTCCACAAGATCTTCTCCCCTCATTATAGTCGTTGGCTGCCAGGGTTAACGTGAATCCTGCTTCTAACACACAGATTAGTTTTGGCTGCTGTGAACTTTCAGTGAATAGTATCATACAATCATCCAGTTTATCTTCTGTGCTTTCTTTTTCTTTTTTTGGCTAACATATTTATGAGATTAACCCATGTGACTGCCCATAATGGTAGTTCTAATTTTTCATTACTACATAAGATTCCACCATATGAAAATACCATAATTTATCCATTCTACCACTGATGGCCATTCAAGTTTATTCAGTTCAGTTCAGTTCAGTCGCTGAGTTGTGTCCAACTCTTTGCAACCCCATGGACTGCAGCACACCAGGCCTCCCTGTCCATCACCAACTCCTGGAGTTTACTCAAACTCATGTCCATGGAGTCGGTGATGACATCCAACCATCTCATCCTCTGTCGTCCCCTTCTCCTCCTGCCTTCAATATTTCCCAGTATCAGAGTCTTTTCAAATGAGTCAGTTCTTCACATTAGGTGGCCAAAGGATTGGAGTTTCAGCTTCAGCATCAGTCCTTCCAATGAACACCCAGGACTGATTTCCTTTAGGATGGGCTGGCTGGATCTCCTTCCCTGTACAAAATTTTTTTATATGTCTTTCGCTGTGAGTGAATTACTGTTGGCATTCTTAGGAGCTGAATGCTCATGCTTTTGATTAATTCTAAAGTTTTACCAAAATGGAAAAGCAACTTTTGTCCCCACAACTAGTGCATGAGAGCTCCCGTTGCTGTGCACCGTCAAGGACAAGCCATTTGTTGCCGTTCAGCCGTTAAGTCGTGTCCGGCTCTTTGTGGCCTGAGGGACTGCAGCATGCCAGGCTTCCCCGTCCTTCACTATCTCCTGGAGTTTGTTCAAATTCATGTCCATTGAGTCAGCGATGCTATCTAACATGGACAAGCTTTATTGCCTATATGGAACTCCAGACCAGAACACTGGAGTGGATAGGCATCCCCTTCTCCAGATCTTCCCAGCCCAGGGAATCAAACTTAGGTCTCCCTCATCACAGGTGGATTCTTTACCAGCTGAGTCCACAGGGAAGCCCATTGTCTAACACGGACAAGCCATCTTAACTGCTTTATCAGTTCTAGCCACTCTGCTGGGCATGTGCTCATATACCATTCCACATTTCATGTTTATTTTTTAAATAAACATTAGAACATTTAAAAAAAAAACAGAAATAGACTCTCAGACATATGCAAGGGTTAATAGTCAGCCGCCTGTTGCTCTGACTAAGCCATGAGAAAATCACCATGGGAAAAGAATAAAAGCAATATATAGCAATACAGCATAATCCAAATAAAAGTACATCATGTTGATCACTTGGGGTCATCATGCCCTGCTAAGCTAAGGAAAAACACATAGTGTGGACCTTGGAACGCCTGGTCAGCGCAAGTTCAGCACACTGCTTGTGCACTCACCAAGTTTTCCCAAGGTATATGCGGGTCTATGATCTCCAGCGGTGATAGCCCTTGTACAAGAAAATAACAAAGACAGTTTAAAGTAATCAGTAAAATGGGAGGCATGACCAGGGACACAGGAGGCCAACTTCATCGTAACACAAGATGCTTTCTGTGTGCCAAGACACTAAATAGGAGTGATGCGGCTCCGAGGAACAGGGCTCTTGATCCAAGCAAGAGGTCTTGAGTCCCCCGGCCCCATCTTTAAAACTTTAATTCTGTCTCCAGTTGCTTTTTCCCCAACTGTGTGTCAACCACTTTCGATCCCTACCTGCTGTGCTGGCCACAGCAGATGTAGCAAGGCTTATGGTTACCAGGGGGTAAGGGGTGAGGGATAAACTGGAGGACTGGGATTGATATATAAGCACTACTATATATAAAAGAGACAACTAATAAGGACCTGATGTGCAGCACAGGAAACCATACTCCATACAGTGTGATGATCAGTACAGGAAAGAATAAAAACAGAGTGAATATATGTGTAACAGAATCATTCTGCTGTACACCTAAAACTAACACCATAGATGTAAATCAGCCATATGCTAATAAAATTTATAAAAACATATTTTAGGCATGTGTGGCCGAAATAAATTTCATAGTTACTTATACATAACAGGAAAGAAATTTATATATTTTTTTACAAAATTCAAAGTATAATAACAATTGAACACTGTTTTTTTGTTATACAAGCCTACCAATGAGAAAAGTTGCAATTCTTTTTAAGGAGGAAGTTTTCCCCTTCTCTGATGGCTAATGAGCTAGACCATATTTTCATATATTTAGCAGCAAGCTGAATGCTTTCGTAACACAAGATGCTTTCTGTGTGCCAAGACACTAAATAGGAGTGATGCGGCTCCGAGGAACAGGGCTCTTGATCCAAGCAAGAGGTCTTGAGTCCCCCGGCCCCATCTTTAAAACTTGAATTCTGTCTCCAGTTGCTTTTTCCCAAACTGTGTGTCAACCACTTTCGATCCCTACCTGCTGTGCTGGCCACAGCAGATGTAGCAAGGCTTATGGTTACCAGGGGGTAAGGGGTGAGGGATAAACTGGAGGACTGGGATTGATATATAAGCACTACTATATATAAAAGAGACAACTAATAAGGACCTGATGTGCAGCACAGGAAACCATACTCCATACAGTGTGATGATCAGTACAGGAAAGAATAAAAACAGAGTGAATATATGTGTAACAGAATCATTCTGCTGTACACCTAAAACTAACACCATAGATGTAAATCAGCCATATGCTAATAAAATTTATAAAAACATATTTTAGGCATGTGTGGCCGAAATAAATTTCATAGTTACTTATACATAACAGGAAAGAAATTTATATATTTTTTTACAAAATTCAAAGTATAATAACAATTGAACACTGTTTTTTTGTTATACAAGCCTACCAATGAGAAAAGTTGCAATTCTTTTTAAGGAGGAAGTTTTCCCCTTCTCTGATGGCTAATGAGCTAGACCATATTTTCATATATTTAGCAGCAAGCTGAATGCTCTTTTTGAGGAAGCATATATGTTTTGCCAGTTTTTTTCTTTTTCACAAAGATCATAGAAATTCTCAATTTATTTTTGATATGAGTCCTTTGTCGGTTACATGATTTCCGAAAATCTTCTCTCACTTTGCGGTTTCCATATTTATACTTGTATTGACCTTTAAAATTATTTTTGATGAACAGAGGTTCTTAGATTTAATAAGAGTATCAGGCATTTCTTCCATGGCTACTTCATTCTGTGGCATGTTTAAAGAAATATTGTCCATGCAAGATCCAAAAGTATCTCTTTTATGTTTCCTGTAGAACTTTTTTTTTTGTTTAGTCTTTTATGTTAGAACTTATAATTCACATGTTATTAAATCTGTTTTTTTTTATGTAGTAATGGCTTTATTTTTTTCATACGGTTATCCCACTGACCACTTTTTAAATGTTTTTCCCCCACTGCTGTATAGTGTCATCTTTATCACAAACCAAGTGCCTCTGTATATGTGGGTCTGTTTCTAGGTCTTAGTCTGCTATTATTATATTATTCTTATGCTATTTTAGATTGCATCACTAAATATTTTAAAAGTAAAATATAATATAAACTCCTCAGCATGTATGAATAAATGTAACAAATGACATACACTACCTTTAGAAATACAATTTTAACTGTTACTGAAAGACATGAAAGGAGTCCTGAGTAAATGCCAAGACACACCACGACCTTGCTACACAGGGCCTGAGTGTCCCGACAGTATGAAAGCTCTCACTGCAGGGGAAAGGGTGCAGGAGACAGAGGGGTCAGAGGAAAGCTACAGCCTTTACCTAACTGCCTGTTCTTGGGAGAACCGCAGCATCGCTTCTGCCGATCTCTGCTTCTTGGAGGGAAGCAGCAGAATCCTCAGGGCAGAGAACTAAACAGCGGCGCGAAACAGGGGCCGAGGTCCCAGGCCTCCCGGCAGTCACCAGCCCCCACGCAAATCATGGGCTGGAAGAAAAAAATAAACATATAAAATACCGCTGTTGTCATTCAGTCACTAAGGCTCAGCCGTGTCTGACTCTGTGACCCCACAGGTTGTAGCCCGCCAGGC